AACTATGAACTCATGAGACTGAAATGGACCAAGATAGCCCAGAGAGGTTCCGAACGAAGCCAGAAAAGATTCATCAGTAGACGTAAACACCTCAGCAACCTAGCAGCTCGGGATAGACCAGAAAAGCTCTGTTTAGTATCCGGTCGCAGCCCGCCTAATTGTGCTTTCAGTGGCAGCTTCAACGTTTGGCTAAACATCCATGTGTTACTTATGTGCTACACCCAGCACTACAAAAAGGAACTTAACATATCATTTCTTACCTGATATTGCTATGGGTCACGACGTTGGGTTCAAGGGCCCCTCGAGGGTCCGTTTATCAGCAATGAGGATAATTTGAAACGTGGCACAGGACGGACATAAAAACATTGCAATTTTATTATCACATAAATATGGCCCATGACTGTCACTGCACCGCTCATCGATATTTCACTTGCAGCATACGCCGTGGAGACCGACAACTTGACACCCCATCCATACTGATTACGTCGGTTATCAAACCGCACCCCTCCCTCCCCATGGGGCGACGGCGCTATCGCCGTCCCAGCAACAGCGGCACTCCGCGCCGGGCGGTCCGTCGCGCCGCCGGTCCGGCGCGGCCGCCGCTGCCGACACCGGCAGCGGCGGTCGCGGCGGTCGGGCACACCTGCCCGGGCCTGGCAACCGCTCATCGCGCCGGCGGGCCGCACACCGGCGGGCCGGCGCCACTGAAGAATGGTCGCCGCCAGCGGGCAGCCGGCCGCCGCCGCCGCCCGAGCCGGCGCTGACGCCCAGCCGCGTCCGTAAACAAGGCGTCGGGCGCGCGCCAGCGCCACCACCGGCGCCGCTGCTGAGTCGGTCAGCGACGGCGCCCCGCTTCGGCAGCGGGCGCCGAGGCCACAGGGTATCGATGGCGCAAAGCGCCGGCGACACGGCGTGCTGGTCACACAGCGTAACGGCCACACAGGTGCCGGCAACACGGCGTGCAGGTCACATAGCATACCGGCCACACAGCGTACCGGCCACACAGCGTACCGGCAACACAGCATACCGGCAACACGGCATACCGGCCACACAGCGTGCCGGCCACGCAGCATGCCGGCCACACAGCCGTACCGGCCACACAACAGCATGCCAGTCATGCATCGCGACCGATCACACAGCGTACTAGTCACACACGGGGTGCCGATAATCCGTATCATGCAGGTGGTCGGAATCATTGATAGGAATCAACACTGAGACTCATTCGCCACCGTCCCTCGGGAACTGAAAGTGAAATGGAGCAAGCTGCGGCGATGGCCAAAACCCGTAGCATCGCGTGGGGTTTCGGTTCTGACGCATAATGATTCGAAGGGTTGATTCACGGCCGCGTGTATGCAAGCACAATCATGTTGGAAAGGTAGCTGCCAATACAATAGGACTTCTCATGATTCGTACCCCGAGCGCTGCATCAAGTGCGCCCGACAGCGTGGGAGCTGCCCTACGTAGCCAAGTGGCTGGGTGGGCAAGCTTCAGCATCAGTAGTGGGAAGGTGTCACAATGATTCGTTCGACTTTGCGCAAGAAGTTATTTCACATTCTAATTCAAAACCAGCTTAGAAAACACGCAGTTATGAATGCCGGCCGGTTGCCAGCACTATACATGTTTTGCAGTGGCATCTTCCTTTTTAGCGCAGGACAACACTTGGCGCATTGAAGACCTCTAAATAAAGCTCATTCCCGTGGATAAAATGGGGATAGGGACAGCGTAGCATTGTCTTTCCTCATACTCCACACTAACAGCAGCTGGCTCCAAACACGACCAAAAAGCACTCTCTGAATATGTTCTTACCCGAGATGACATCGACACTTGACCTCTTCCGTGGAATCATCGCAGATGTGAGCACAGCCGCCGTTATTGTTCAAGCATTCGCTAGCTCCTGCAACAAAACAAGACATCAAAAGCAAGCCAACGTCATGGAATGGCCGACAAAAGGCGGGAGAGCACGCAGACTCGTGTAGACGTGGGGAATGGATACGGAGGTGCGACAGTGGTTACTCGCGGGAAACACCACACTCGATGGTCATGGTCCAGTACACGCGCAAGAAGACTTGGATATCGGTAGGTAACGCAATACACACGTTCAGAAAAATCTGGAAAGCCATAAGACTGACCAGGGGCCCAGACCAGCCAGGACACCTAAAAACTCTTTACGTTTAAGCCCTTGGGCCTTCGAACATGAAATCGAACCCGAGTTGGATAGCGGTGCACTTTTCTTATGCATTGTCGCCTTATGAAGAACCCCTTATTACTCTGCACGTTTAGAATCTTTGTGTCACCTTACTCAGCTAGGGGTAAAAATACTTGTTTCATTCCCTCTTGGAGTTACACAAGACACTCCTGACATCGACAACAAAAAGTACTCACGCCAGCGCTTAGGATTTTTATTTTATTTCTACACTCATAGCTTTTCACACATTCCTGGTGAGTCCATCTGAGAAACATGGCCCGAAAGCACGCAGAGGTTTTTGCATCCGCTGGTTGGTGAGCTCCAATACACTGTATTCTCGAAAGGAACCATTTTAAAGTAGTAGAAAGACTGGAAACAGCACTCTCTGAAAAAGGTTAATATAATGCTTGATCACCGATTAAACGTACCAACAATTTGAGTGGATCACACCGCTTTTCGCGGGTTTACTCTTCACGCAGATTTAAGTACAAGAGAAACAGTAATTGCATTGCATACAAGAAGTGATGCAACAATTTTTGGTAAAGAAGTGATGCAAAAATTGTGGCTGTGTTGTTGTTGCAACAACAAGTGATGCAACAACAACACAGCCACAATTTTTTTATTGGAATTGGTAGGATTGTAGCCGAGATCCTGTGGATGCAAAGCCAGCGGTCTACCAACTGAGCTAACCGGAAAGGACGCGTCGGGGAGGATGGGACGGTCCCTCCTGATCAGCTCAGTTGATACAACGCTAAATTCGTGATCGGAAGACCGGTTCGAATCCCAACGATTCCAAGGAGGGAATTGGGCTGTGACGCATCCATGACCAAAAGCTGTCATGATCAGGACTCAAGAAGACCTGGTGACGGCATGAGAAGTAACTGGTTGCAACGTTGTATATTTACTGACACACCACGGGAGGGCGATGGCACGAAAAACTAATCCACCCGTAGACTGATTTACCGCACGTCATGTCAGAACGAGATATAAACGGGCCAGACGACCACCAAAGGTGCCATTAACTTCGAGCAAGCAGAAAAGATAGCGGACTCAGGTGCAGGCCAGCAGCAGCCAACAGAAATTCACTCAACCTCCATTTGCTCTCGGACGGAGCTAGTATATTCATTCATATGACAGATAATCAGCGCCGCTGAGTGTTTCACTGACGGCTTCCAAGGCACCCGCGCCTGCACCCCACACAACAGCCGGTGCCTCATAAACCTCAGCCGAACTGGGTCATCTCCAAATCAGGACTGAACCGCGATCAAACGCGGAGGCAAACACGGAAAAACAGCTGCACCATTGCCGCAACTCATAGCTTGTCAGACCCAGCCGTCAGTAGACCTTGAACGGAGCTGGGAACAAGCGCAAAGACCGCGTCTGCCGGCAGTCTTGCGGCGATTTATGGCCGCCATTTTGACACTGCTCTGTACACAGCCGGCGATTTACTGCCGGGGCCTTTCGCGCTGAATTGATGCTCTTCTGTTCAGCTCTCCACGGCGGATTGAGGAGAGCGACGAGGACGCAGAGCGCCGCTCATCTGTCGCGACCGACCGCAACTGACCAACAGCAGGCGCCCTCCGACTGCATCTGAGCGTCACACCGACCCTCTGCCGATGCGGGACGAATTTCGGGGGGTGAGGGTGGAGTGGGGTGGAGGGAACTGACCAACAGCCGGTGCCGTTCGACCCCATCTGGGGATCGCACCGATCCCCTGCCGATGCAGGACGAATTTCAGGGGGTGAGGGTGGGCTGGGGAAGGGGAGAGGGGACTGATAGGTGCTCTATGTTCATACTCTCCCATACGTTTCTACTGATGTTAGCAGCATGGTGGGCAGGAAGGCGCATGTCTGTGTGCAGGCAGGGTAAGGAGGCGTCCCGGTGGACGGTAGTGTCCGTTCCGCCTTGCCCACTGCCAATCACGACGGACATGGGGCTCGGCTGGACAGTGCTGACGGACATGGGGCCCGGATGGACAGTGATGATGAACATGGGGCCCGGATGGACAGTGATGATGAACATGGGGTCCGGCTGAACAGTGATGACGGACATTACGTCCCACCCTGTAGTCACGTTGGAGACGATACCATTCCAGACAGTGATGACAGACCCGCCGCTGATAACGACAACAACGGGCACGGCCACGGCGCGGCGCCAAGCCGGGCGGTGGCGGTGGACAACGTGCCGGGCCAGCCCAATCGAGCAGCTGCAGTGATGACCGACATGTCAGCTGACGAGCCCTGGCCGCGATGAAAGACACGCTGCTGCCCAGCCAGGCAGCGATAACAGACGTAGCACCCGTCGTACCCATTACGTTACAACAGGCGATGTGGTCGCAACGGAATGATCATGATCGCATTTTGCAAGGATCATTAACACGTCTGCCTTTCAACAGACATCGCCGGGTTCGGCGACGTGTTCAAAGTTATTGACGTATCTTACCAGGCACAACAGGCGTGCACCATAAATCATTTTCGCGCTGTCTGCTATCAGTATCAAGCGGTGCCATTCATAATCAGGCGCCGGATATATCGTCCTTTAATCCGACTGATAGAATCACACATTATGCAGCGGTAAACCTGGATTGCATCCAGTCCCCAGCAGGTGGTGCGAATCACAAACGGAGACAAACGATGCCTGGCATCCAGTGCCATCCGTGGTCATGCTCATAAGAAGGGCTGTCAACCGTGATCCCCAGGACGGCGGAGACTCGGCACACGTTATGCAATGATCAGACGTAGCCAGGATTAGCATCACCCATGATGCGGGTGGGCAACAGGGATCATCTGTCATCCTGGTACGGATGCAAGGACCGACGGCTGTAATGAGAACCAATGGTGCCGCAGTGGGAACGGTAGAGTGCCGATGAAGACGATTTGCCAGGGTTTAGTGAACACGACGCTTCACAAAGCATTGTGAGCTATTTTTGTGTTGCAATTTAAATGTGTTTGCTTATCATTTAAAGAAGTGTGGTAGCACCATGTGTATACCCGTATGTGTTAGCGTCTGTTGCCCAGAGCTGTGGCAGCGTTAATTTTATTTCATATCCGTTATGGTTCAATAAAGTATCAACAAGTGAGCATGTGTGACTGTATCTGAAGTGTAGCAAATTTCAGATCCTTTGCTTGCTTTGCTGGAAGTTACATCTAGTCGATAACTGGAAATATGACGTAATACTTTTCGCTATGAATTCCAGCTCACAAGGAAATGTGTAAGATAAGAAAATGCAAAGTAGAGCGGCAAAGCAAAAAAAGGTAAAAAAGGCACGCAGCTCAGAACCAGACACCAAAAACCAGATGACATGGAGGTATGCACATTTCATTGCATTCATTGTCACATTTGAATAAAAATTCTTACAATAAAAGGAGCCACGTACGTTGGAATGAATAATTTCAACACTGAGATAGTCGTCATCTGTTGCCTTTTAATCACTGGCTCCTGAAACTTGCCTTTTTCCTGTCATTTTTAAAGGTTCAAAAGCTTTAACCTTTCATTAAAGTCTTTAGCTCAAAATAATTAATTTTTTGTTGAAATTATTGGAAATACGCTTTGGGATATGACTCATTATTCCACCGCACCACAAGCGTTATTGCACGAGCAAGGGCGTGGAATTTTACAAGGGGAGGGAGGCACAGCTAAACAACTGTCACTGAAAGCCAAGTCCAGCGGGCTGTGGAGGCGCGCAAGGTTCTGTGAGTCGTGAAACAACATCGCATGTCTTTTATTTCTTATTCTCATGTATATTCCTGACATGCCATGATTGTTAATGTTTAGTCACGTACATACCAATACCTACATTCCATAAATTCGATACGGAAGGGGGCATGCCCCAAGGCCACTATGTGCGTACGCCCCCCGCCAAGACACACGACGTTAACGCGGGCTTACCGAGCGATGCCGTGTAGCTTTGCTTTGACGCATCAATTTTCATAATTGCGCGCAGTGTGCGCAGCGGCCTGTCATTTTTCAGGGACTCGCATGGTGCTGGGATAACTGATGGATAAGACCGGGTGGACCACAAGACCATATGACCATGAGACCACAAGACCACCTACTGAACGCGGAACTCAATCAGGGGATATTACTCGGTGTGCTCGTGCTTACAAGTTCCTAACCATGCCTCTCTAGCAATTCGCTCATTGTAGTCACCCTGGCGCTTAGTTATAAATCATGAGCTTCTAAAAGGTTTAGTTCACCCGCGAGCCTCGGTGTGGTCTGCTACTCCGTTGCTGCATTCTGGCACATATGGGCTATGCTGCAAGAACTGTCAGCAGTACATACGTGCTTGTGCATGTTACCGTGGTGGACCGGCGTTACCGGTCTGTCGTTGGACACCATGGAAATGCGTAGTTCTTATATCCGGCCTTACTCTCTCTGGATAAACTGAGCTGCTTATTTCCAGATTCTGGTACTTGCCAGCCTTGAGTGATTTGTGTTAAATGGTTATGAAGTCGATAGCATAAATTTACGATTGTTAGTTTTCGTTCATGGAAACGCTTTGTCATCTTTGAAAGTTTGCTCTTTGGAATCGAGCCCAAACCTGTGCAATGATCTTGGGCGGTCTCATCGGGCAGCGCTTGGACACGGTCTACGCTTGCTTAGGGCCCGCTTCGGACGCACTACGCTTGCCGGCCCCGAACGCTCCATCTTTAGCCTGTAGCCCTCCCTGACCGTGGCCCCAGCTCACGGCGGCCAACGAGACGGGGAGCGGCAGGGGTCGTCTCCAGGGCGGGAGGGAGGGGAAGACATACCCGACGTCGCTCGAGACGGACGAGGCACGCTCCCCCCTGACCGCCGGTGGGGGCAGGGACGGTCAACAGAACAACACCACTTGGCTGTCGTCATCGTCGTTTGTACGTGTCACAGGCGCGGACCGGTCTTTTCAACACCGGTGATTTATCCGCGACACCCCGGAATGAACGCGATGGGAACACACCCTTCATTGGACTCTGACAGAGCGGCTGGGGTCCGGCGATGCCAAGGGAAGCTGCAATCTTGGACAGGATCGCGTCCAATATGAACAGTTCTAGGAACTGGCGGCCGTCTGGGGATCTGTTCGCTGAACACCTTTGTTATGATATTTTTAAGTCGTTTTTCTTGAAATGTCTGGTGTGAGTCTATCAGGGAGGTTTTGGTGAAGTTGCAAACCGGCTCCCTGCACAGCGATTGCATCACATTCTCTTTCACATTTCATTTGATGCATTGCCAATTGCCAAATTCATTGCATTGCCATTGCATTGCCAATTTGCTGCATTGCCAAAATTTCGTCTCGCGCTATTCTGAAGTTATCTTATAGTTTCTTATGGTACTGTGCACCCGTTACAATCATCAGAACGACGCAAACGACTTAATAGCGCACGATAGCAATCACAACGAACACAACAGCCCACAGTGGGAAATTAATGCTGCTTTGAGACATTAATTCTCCTGATAAGCGCAGCCACGAAGTCCGCCGTCGCCAACAGAAGCAAAGCCATCAGTTAACCAATTAGATCTGTTTCGGGTGCTCAAAATAGTCAGCTTCATGGAACCGTGGACAGGTGTTTAGAGACGAACCCAGCAAGCGTCGAGTTCAGTCGTTATTATCGGCTCACATGATTCATAATGATCGTGTAAATAAATGCCTGTCTGTCCGTCTATCTGTCCGCAGTTCTTTAGCCACACGCGCAGCACAGACGGTTGCACGGATTGCCGTGAAGTTAACGCATACGGCAGGTTCAACCTTCGTGACGATCTACAACATATACTTAAGTTTGTTCGAAATCGTTGTCGATCACATGGCGTGCAAAAAGGTGGCGCGCGTGTTTTGGCATTAAGCGTGGACACATTTTCGCTTGCGTAGTAGAAATCAGTTGAACAAAGATCAGATTAGCCAGGTCGTTGAGAACAAGTTTTCTATACATTCCGTGCTAAAGCATGCTACACTATAAAAACCTATACTATAGCATCGGTATAGTATGGGTGTCTAGGAAACACATGTCACAAGACTCAAGCAACGATGAATAAAGCCTTTGCCACGCGCAGTAGATTGTCCAGCGACGCAGGTGCTAAGAACAACTTACAAGAATACACTGCATCATTTAGGTGCGAATCACTGTCATATGGTTAGAAGCAGTGCTACACCGACACCAACGGCACCGGCTCCTCGCGCAACGAAAGTAGCGAGAACTACGTCTAGATAGTGTCTGTACGCTGCCCCGCGCGCGGGGAAGCGCTGCACCGTCCATGTGTCCGAGCGATCCACGAAAACTAAAAACAGCTTGCAAGTGTTAGCTCGAGAGCCAAGGAACCACGAGGGTCACGGTGCCCCCGAGCCATGAGGCTAACACGCGATGCAGCACGATTTCGTTGGAGTTCGTGTCGCATTTGCAGGAGCTCGATTGACTTCACATTGTCGGGACGCGAGTCGAGATGACGTCGTCGGCGACGGAGCTACTGATGCCAACAATGACACCTCTTCGCGCAGTGAAGCGAACGGAAGCTTCTTCTTCTTCTAACACCAACTGCTATCGAAGACGCCATCACCTCAACCGGCGCCGCCGACCTGCCTGGCCGCTGCCCCCCGTCTTGCGCCGGTGTCGAGGCTGACCGACGTCAGCGCCCGCCTCTCTCCAGCGGAGCTTCCGCCGGCGCACTGCTATCAAAGGCGCCATCAGCTCAGCCGGCGCCGCCGGCCTGCCTGGCCGCCGCCCCCCGTCTTGCGGCGGCGTCGGGGGCTGACTGGCGTCAGCGCCCGCCGCTCCCCAGGGGCGCTTCCACCGGCGCCGCAAATGCGCCGCGTCGTCGCGTCGTCACGGCGAGGGCACGAGCCGGCTCCTGCTAATGACCGGCCGAGTGCCTGCTGGACGTGAGCTACCGCTGTTTATAGTGTCGGCGGTGTCAAACTGGCCCGCCGGCCTGACGACCGACCCAGCGGGGGGCGCCGGTCGGGGCCCGTTGGACAAATGGGCTGCTTCCCGTGTGCATGTCGAGAGGACCCTTGTCGATTATGGAAATGACAAGTCGTCAGGCGCGCATAAAAGGCAGCAGCGTCCCAGGTATGGTGCGAATGAGCTCGGTGCACTTTGTTCCGATGGAAAAGGAGGTGTTATAAGACATGCGACACGCGATTCATCACTGCTCAAGCGTGTGGGGTGAGGCGTCTGCAAACTTTCGTAAAGCTGAATGCATTCAAATGAGTCTTATGTCGGGGCCTGACAGTTTAGTGGATGTCTCTACGCATTACACCGGGCGACCGGACCAGCGTGGGCTGGCCCCAGCACGGTCTGACGACTCATGGAAACAGTGGCCACACAGTCTCGCGACTTAAGGAAACAGCGACCACACGGTCTCGCGACTTACGGACATAGCGGCCGAACGGTCTCACGACTTATGGAAAGAGTGGCCACACTATCTCACATCATACGGCGATAGCGGCAACGCGGTCTCACGATTTAAGGACATAGCGGCCACACAGTCTCACCCCTCACGGACATGGTGGCCACACGGTCTGACGACTCATGGAAACAGCGGCCACACGGTCTCGCGACTTACGGAAACAGCGACCACACGGTCTCGCGACTTACGGAAACAGCGACCACACGGCCTCGCGACTCACCGAGACAGCGTCTGCCGTCGCCGGCCAGCCGCATCTGGTGCGGACAAGTACACAGGAAGGAGCCCGGTGTATTGAGGCAGTCGTGCGAGCAGCCTCCGTTGTCACGGTCGCACTCGTTCCAGTCTGAAACATGGCCCTCCGGTCAGTTGGGCTGGGCGGCGCAGCGCGGTGGGGCTGCGCTGGGCAGCCGGACGGGCATGCCAGGACTTTCAGGGGTGCTACCGTTAGTATTCGAATTATTACCGTGCGAAGTGATGCGGGGCGTGCATGTCGTGTGTAAAAGGTATTAATGGCTGTTTTCTGACGACAAAGCACAAACATAAGCATTTATGCAGTGGTGATTGAGCCTCAAGTGACCGCGGAAAAGTGGAGATAAAAATGAAACGAGTTGAAAAAATAGCAGCAAAATTTTTATTATTATATATAAATTCTCATATCTTGATCTGTCAACGTTTTATATGCTCGTGGTTTTGAGCAGTCTGCATTACTTTCATGCAGCAACCATTCGGCAATGGCAATTTCAGATGGCAATCAAATATTTCGTATCAACGTAAAGCAGAAGGGCAAGCCCAGATTAATAGATATGGGGCTTAAGCAGGGGCAGGGCATCACAACAAAAACATTTTTATCGGAGCATTATTTCCCTTTGTCATTAAACAGCGCCAAACACGCAGATGGTCAGTCTAGACAGACAGGGATGCGCCGAACGTTAGACATGTCTCCAGTTGATGTAAACATCTCAGGTATGAACCGAAAATACCATACGCTATAACATAGCGCCAAATGGTATTTCGCCGCTGAGCACGGGATCTTTTAATTGCTGAGCTGCACCTATTCTGGAGCAGATCGTCCTAATTGTAAAATATATCATTATGAATATCATATAACTGAATCTGTGCGGTACATCCATCACAATGTTATATGAAATGGTATAGAAATATGCATCGTAACTATATATGTATACACACATATATATCTATCTATATGATATTTTGGCCATCAACCACTTCCGTTGCTAAGTATATATTCATACTTGCAAGCGAATAGCATAATACAACGAACTAAATCATAATTTATCTTCATCGAACGACCACTATGATCTCAGATGCAAAGCATCCTCTCGAATACACAACAATCCGCTCAGTCCGCTCGTTAATTCATCAACATCACACAGCTGTATGGACGTTGACAGATACACCTATATCAGGATCTACACGTCGAGGCACAACAGCTCAGCACGATCCCGGCGTCCTGCACACGGCTCGCGCCGTCTCCGCAGACGGCGGCGAGACCACCGCCCTTGCCTTGCAAGGTGCCGCGCCTCACTCAGCGGAAGGCCATCCCGCCATGACAATCCTTGTGCAAGCTGCAACGTCGCTTCGCACCCCTCCAGCGCGCCATCCAATCGATAGATGTTGACCGGCGAGATAGGGGCGCTTATCAATGAGCTAACAGCGGCGGGGGAGGGCCGGGCTCGCCGGCGCCGCCCAAGGGTCGCGGCCACCCCGATGGCCGGCTATTGTTGTAACACGATGCGGCTGCCGGCGGTGGCCGGTGACGACAGCCCGCCACCAGGGTGGTGATTCAGGGGCTCGTCGGGAGCCGGGGATGACAGGGTTGTCGCGTGGCGGCGCCGGCGTCGTGGGCCTGAGGGCGGCCCTCAGACCACACACACACACACACACACACACACACACACACACACACACACACACACACACACACACACACACACACACACACACACACACACACACACACACACACACACACACACACACACACACACACACACACACACACACACACACACACACACACACACACACACACACACACACACACACACACACGAATACACACACGCACACACGCACACACACACACACATAGCGTCGCCACGCTGGGCGATACCAGACTTGGCACTTAGGTTTTCTGGTACGCCGGTGCAACACCCTCTAAATCTGGTGCATGGGTGCGCAATCTGATCCTCATGATGTCCTGATACAGCGTGGTGCAACTGACCTCTTTGTAAACAAAATTAATTGCTGAGTCGCGCTGGAAAAGTAATCCATTAGGCACAGATCCCAGACACCGGTCCCGTTCCAACAAGTCCCCGGAAGACATTAATCTGGCCAAGCAACTGCACCCCCGGGAAAGGTCGGAATGCATTGAGTCGAACTACGAATGACCTAAAGCTCCGCCGAATCGCATGTTTGGAGTGTGCTATCTTTTGATTGATGGACACAGCCCCGTCCGCTACCCTCGTGAGATTAGCCGACGCTCGGCAGGCTGCATCAGTCACGCCGTTCAGGACGCAATCTGGAAACTGGCCATTTTGCTTGTCCGCATTCATAACAGTTGGCATATCACCACTGTGTGCAGGCGTTTGGGTCGGCCGCCCCGCGCGACACTTCACATCATCTATAACTGTCGTCCTACGCATGCGACGCAAACCATGTGCGCGATGTCGCAGCAGAAGCCGAAGCCACCGCTTGGCATGCTCGACGTCTTGCACGCAAGATTGAGCTGCTCCCGCGACTGGCGAAAGTACGCGTGTCTCGTCGGTGGCTGCAGCGCTGTCCATCATGATCGGCCCGCCACCCAGCGCGAGCGGGCCGAGTCCGTTTGATGCCGCCGGCTCTGAGGCGCACCCGAGACGGGTCTGGCCTCGGCGCCGCTCCGGGCCGGGTGGGTCAGGGGCGGGCCCAGCGGACCCGCCTCGAGCTCGCCCCGGCTGCCTGCACCGCGGGCTCTGGCGACTTCGATGGCCCGGTCCGACACGAGTCGGGAGACGGCCGCCGCCTCCGGCTCGGGAGCACCGTGCCGGAGCAGCTCTGGACCGGCGCCGAGAACGGCGGACGACGGTGTACCTGGCAGCGAAGGAGCCCGAGCTGGTGCGGCAGACCCCGGCGAGCTGGCCACCCACGCTCGGCTCTCCGGCCGCAGCAGCTCTGGACCGGCGCCGAGAGCGGCGGACGGTGGTGTACACGGCAGCGGCGGAGCCCGAGCTGGTGCGGCAGGCCCCGGCGAGCTGGCCAGCCATGCTCGGCTCCCTGGCCGCAGCAGCTCTCAGTCACTGACGGCAGCGGCGGGGCCGCACCGACACGGCAAGCCCCGGCGAGCTGGCCAGCTGCACTTGGTTCCCTGACCGCAGCAGCCCTCGCCTTCGATGGCGGCTTCCTATCACCACGCTCGCTGATTGGGCGGAGGTTGGGACAGGGGCTTCGAGGTGGCGGGCGAGGGTGGTGTTGGTGGGAGATGAGCCCGTCGCGTGGGTTGGGGACGGATAAGGTGGTGGGTGGTCCGGCCAGGGATCTTTCGAATCAGCGAGCGAGCAGTAGTGACAGCCAGACGGAGATCGCTTTCTTTGATCACATATCTCAACGAAGGCAGATGGCAATAACTGTGTATCATTCCCGATATAGAGGACCCTCACATCGGCGCCGACGCGGAACCAGCGTGGGTTTAATCTGAGGTAGCAGGGCCACTGGAGCTCCAAAGCCTTTCTCAGAGCCCTGCCGGGCGGAGCGGGCGGAGGCGGAGCCGGCCAGGAGCGCGGCTCATCGACTTCGGCCGAACGACAGTATCGTGCAAAAACAGTAACGGCCAATGATGTTCGCACGTCATACTAAGTTCAGATATGGTGGGCAATGCACCGAAAAGATAACGTCGATAATAGCACGGTATCGTGAGGTCAAGATGAGTGAGGCGTTAAGTCAACACAGCGCTGTCGTCTAGGCCAATGCACTACAAAGCCACACGAGTGCAAACATGGGGTACAAACGCCTGTGCCGAGGCAAACAGTTGGTAGCAGCACAGCACAGTTGTTCATTTAGTTCCGCCTTTTTGGACACAGCTGCAGCCAAATCTGCAGACCGTACTGCTGGCCGTGCAGCGATAGTCCAGCCGATAACACACGGTCGAGGTGGCGGCAGGGCTAATCGAGGCCCACTGCAACAGCTTTTCAACACGCTGACCAGGCGCTGCCGGCGAATTGATGCGATGGAATCAAAAGTGCTTATGCGAGCACTTTCGTCGTTTCAGGCGTACTCCTACCAGAGTGAGAAGACGCCACCCGCGCCAAAACGATAAATAATTCGTTGGAGCGACCGATAAACATGTGACTAATCCCAAGGCTATTTGTGAAGGCGGCCGGTCTGAGTTTACCCTGATGGCTGGATTGCAGAGTTCAGTTATGTCTGGCGGCGCTTTTAATTCATCCCACTGATTCCTGGGAAGAACTTGGCATCGCATTTCGCTGTGCGCAAAACTTCTTATGCGAAACCTTGTGTCACATACATTAGCATGAGAGCTCTTGGTACATATGTTTCCTTGAGTGCAAGTCTTCCTAGACCCAAACCTGGGTTCATACAAACCATTGGAAATCAAAACTTCATATCCCAAAACGTCGTGAGTGGAACTCATCATGTCCCATTCCTCCGAACACGCATCTCTTCGCTTCACATCACTGAATGTCCGTAGTTTTTCGCTTACGCAGCTGTTCGTGTTGCTGTTCTTCACATACGCTGTCCTTCGTGTTGCTGTTCTTCACATACGCAATCGTTCGCAACACAACTCTTTGTACACACGTCCGTTCCGTGTTTTTTTTTTGTATGTCCGTGCAGCGTCTTTTCTTTTGAGCTGTTTTTTTATCTGCATCGCACTGCTTTGTCGCCCACAAAATTCCTCGCATCACATTTAATTATGCCGAACTATTTTCTCCTACCTTGCACACTTCTTGAATTGTACGCAACTTAGTTCCTTCTACCTATTTCTTATTTGTAATAATAACAAAAATACCCATTCCTTCTTTTGCGGAGTAATTCGTGTCGCATTTTTTCTACACGCAAATCATGGTGTTACATTTGTGGGCATGCACCCGCACAAATCCTGCCATCAGTAGCTAAGCGAAGCACCTGGTGTGGTCTGTCACGTATGACGGTTACGCGGCTGAACGCCAGTTCGCTGATTAGACAGGCGTAGCGAATGTAACGGCGCGTATGGACCACCTCCATATGCGCGCTGTTCAGCTTCGCTGCCGCAGATATCTAAAAGTTCAGAAACTAGGCGTAGAGTTAGTTAAGGCACGCATGAGGTATGCGCCCCCACCCCTGCCTCCAACTTCGGGAAGGCCTCTCCGCCCGAAGTGTGGGGAGGAAAGGACGCTTTGTGTGAGTTCATGCATGTCTTCCTTAGACATCCATGGCAAGACGTGAGCGTCGATGGACGAAATCCTCTGACATCGGGAAGGCAGAAGGCTCAGAAGCATGACAAAAACTCCGCAACGCGAATAAAAAAAAACGTATGGATTCGGGGCGATCAGGTCTCAATGTACATACATGCTCTACATGTCTTTACCCGGACAACATTGACAAAACCCTTTTAAGGACTAACTTACGATACTTAATACGATGAGAAGAACTGAGTGTACAAAGCTGGGCCCATATAAGGGTTTACTGGGGTAGGCTTCTGCGTGGGAAGATTTGCGATAGGAATATTTGCGTACGAAATTTTGCGTACAAAGTATGACAACCAGGATATTTGCGTACGAATTTTTGCCTACAAAGAAATGTGATCGGAATAAACGTGAGGGGAGCTTACCAAGTCACCTGACCCACCGTACATAACCCATGTTATGAGAATGAATGTGCAGGGTGCTTCAACAAAAATGTGGTTGGGTACAGGACTGACATTTGTGTGACAACAACTTCAATGGCTGTTATCTGAAAACAGTAACCACATAAACATTATCCGTCAATATACCATGGTGACGTGGACAGCGCGACAGTGGTTCGTGGCAGCTTCAGCGTCATTGTCCATCACTGTATCCGATAACATGTGACAAACATTCAGGCGAATCGCATCCATTACCGTCTAGTAGCCCAGCTTAGTAGCATTCGTGGAAAACCAGCTACGCATTCAAAACAGTCTTTTTCTGTTTGTTTCAGCCCGTTCCGACTTACGGCACATAACCACGTATAACCAGATATATAATACCGCATATCAAACCACATATATCCGCATCCGTTCGAGCGGTTTTTCAGCGCGAACATTTACCGGTTAGGGAAAACTGTAAGCATAAGCCGAGACACGGCTCGACGATACGTTACCACTGCACAATACCAGGCGGCATCTAAAAGCACCACTCGCCCCCAACAGTGGACACGCCCCAGTCTGTGGCGTCAAACGGGCGAGCCGGACGGCTGTCAGGACCGGGGTAAGAGTGACTGTCAGGACCGGGGTAACCGAGCCCGTGACGAGACGTGTTGGTGTTTGGGCGGACGGGCAGACCGTGGTCCGCTGCTGTAAACACTGCCCACCGAGGCGGATCAGCGTAAGCCAAGACCGCGGAGTTAAGTGCTCCTGTCGCCCAGCCCGAGATTTGGGGACCTCATGGCTATACTCCGATTCTGTCGTGGGAGGACCGGTAGACAACTTGCCTCCTCGTGGTGTGTGGTGTGCAGGTCCCGTCACAAGCTATACACAACAAAATGCTTTATTTGCAATAGATGTTGTCTTTTGTGGGGTGATTTTCAAATGGGGTATGACCAGAAAAAAACAATGTTCCAAATAGACTATAAGCGCAACAATCGGATACATGAAGTTAGTCGTGAATGATCGATTATTTCAAACATAACCATTGTAAGTGAACGAAAAATAGCTCGTCAGTGGCAGATCAAATCAGGAATGCATTGGGTACAAGTATGCATATCTAACATTTTTAGAACGAAATTTACCCATAAAAACACCACTGTGTCACATGCATGTGCCTCTGACACATATCTCAGGCAATTTTAGTCAGCGGCGGTGAGGTATTCCTCCTACCTTAATCACGGTCACAGCACCCTTTGGCTAGCGACCATTTAAACCAAAAGCCAAATAGCCCTACAATAAAACACACCGCACTGCACTGATAAATAAACCGCGAGCAAAGATTTGTGCCGCTGTATCCGTCAGGAATAAATGCCTTCTGTGACAATAAGCACGAGGTCTTATCACGTCGCCTAGAGGCCGGAGTATCATTTATCATGAGCCAGACTATTACCAAGCTCCGAGAGACCATTTGGCGTGCGGCAGAGACAGCCAGCAACACTTCAAAGACCATAGTGTAATCCTAGCGTGGGGTGCTGTGCCCTCCCGTTCACCGACGATCAGAGAGCTGCCAGGCGGCTGCACGCGCGCTGGGGCCGATCGGGACCACAGCTGTGCGGACATTCCTGCGTGGCTTTGATAATGTTATGCCAGACAAAGTTCAGCACGACGATGTAAAAGGCCGCGATATGTCGAACAAGTTGCATAAAACTCACGCGTTACGTCATTGCGTACAGTTCTGGCTCACCGGAAAGGTGGGAAAACTGCCAACCTTGAACGATGACCGCGGGATATAAGCCCAGATCCCTTTCAATCATGGTTTTTGCTTTAAGTCTTGTAGAATCATCGTATGTCTGGATGTTTATAATTTTACAGTTGTTTACGTGATCATTGCATTCGAAAAGCAAGATGACTTTTGGCACAATCAGTGAGAACACTAAATTAGCTGGCAATCATCATTACCCTGCCCTACCTCACCCATCAACACCTGACCAGTTTCCTTCTGTTGAAGACCGGATACATTTCCCTACAGGTCAGTCAAAAGGCCTGCGCCAATAAACAAAGCGTGTCACCTCAGTTACATTAACACAGCGTCCCTCAGAATATTCAGATCGGTTCAGATTTCAGCTTTCAGACGCCCCGAAGCAACCCACCGCCACCTTCTTTCTGATCACCCCTGTCTCTGTCGGCGGATTCTATTGGCTGTGACGTGACATGGGCTGCTCCGATACTACCATTGACTGAACCATGCGCAATATGCCAACCTCTGAGACTTGGCCCGCGCCGGTTCCCACCGACGCCACAGGGCGGCGTGGCGCCCGGCGGCGGGGCGGAACGGGGCGTGGCCGGAGCGAGGGCGTGGGCGGGGCCACGCACGTGCGTGGCGCGCGTGCTACTCACCCAGCCCGGAGCGGGCGGCCACGGCGGCCGCCAACAGCACGGCCGTCAGACCGTGACGCAGCATCGCATCTAACTTCCTCCAGTCGTCAGCGACGGGCACGCACGCGACGAGCGGGTACGGCGGCGGCCGGGGCGCGGTCGACACTCGGCGCGAGCGGGCTGGGCCGGGCGGGGCGCGCGGCGCCGGCAGCAAACCCACAGACTGCACTCAGCCGGCCGCCGGCTGGCGCGCGCTTTTGATCGCCTGGCGCCAGATCGGCGGCGCCGGCGGCCACGCGGGCCATGAGCCGGCACGGGCGGTCAGCAGCTGTGACCGGGCACGGCTTTGTGAGGAGCGTCATGAACCGACACCGCTGGGTCGGAGGCGTCCCAGCTACTCACAGACACTCACTCGTCAGGGATGTCACCAACTGACGCTGAGTGGTCAGGGGTTGTGTGGCCTAACACTGACTGACCAGTGAGGGATTGATGTCCTGACACGGGCTGACCAGTGAGGGATTGTATGTCCTGACACGGACTGACCAGTGAGGGATTGTATGTCCTGACACTGACTGACCAGTGAGGGAATGATGTCCTGACACGGACTGACCAGTGAGGGATGTCATGGTTTGGACCCCACCGATCAGGGGTGACAGGATATGACCGGGCGGTCAGTGACGTCATTAGCAGCAGGGGTAGTGAGACCCGCTCCTTGTTGACCAGGGCACTAATTTATTTCGACTTAGAGAATTATTAGAGGTGTATGTTGTTATAAGAGGCAACTGAGCTGGTATACATTCCCCTTAAAACAACTGACGTAACCCAAAGTTGTTTAACAACTTTCAAGTATGATTGCAGTTCTAATCTAAAGAATGACTCGCTAGTGGACGTCACCCAAGACTCACTGCTCATACGGAATGATTTGACCCACAGCCGGCCTCAGAAGATTTTCGCGCAATAATGCCTCAACAGCTCTCAGCGCAGCGCTGAAATTTGGGGTAGCTGAGAGTGCATCATGTTCACACGTGCTGAACAAGCTTGAAGTCTCTGACATCGATAGCCTATGATCTGCGATGGATTTCTCGACACGTTGACCTTTGTGACCGGACTTGACCGTTTGGAGGTCATAAGATTTAGAGCTTAATGGCTGATATCTTACGACTTTGGACGGCGTCCTGTCCTCCCTGATGATTTCTGATAGTGGAAGGCCTGTTCTTTCCATTGATGTGGGTTACATAGTTTTTATACTGACGGACGATCCACTGCATTAATTGCCTTCACCCATTCGACCTGATATAACATTTAAGACGTCATATTTGTCGCTGTCCACTGGTCACAATCTCTTGCAGATTTCCAATAGTTATTCAGCGTGGTCTTTCACAATGTTGTAGAATAGGTCAGTTTTCGATATAATAGGAGTGGGTCTATAAAGTGCTTATTTGGCCACTTTGGCTTGGTTTGACTTTTCGTTGCCGTTTTCACAGTGTTTCTGGCTTGCTGAGTTTACCAATATCTTAGGGCGGACGACCCGCCCTCGTGTGGCGGGGTCGATTTAAACCCCCTTTGAGAAGGGGTTGGTGGCCACCCAATCACGAAATAAGACTCGGCACACATACGTCGGTATCGTTCAATGTCTCAACAAGAGTGTTTAAATGGTTCCCGCATATTTGTGTTAAAGGTAGTCTTTTCCGGACATCGACAGCTTCTGGGTAATGCAAGTTCTGATCACAGAGCACACAGCGTTTTACATCTCTTCGTGCCTTTTTTCTCCCGGTTAGGTGGCCTTACATAGCCTCACGAATTAAAAAAATCCACAAGTCTATCGTCTGTCTTTTGTGTGTTCTCAAGTTATGATAAAACTATGATCCCACTTGTCATGCACTTTTTTCTCGGTCGGTTGCCATGGTTATCTTTGCCCTTCTCAGCATCATCGGCCTCTTAATTTCGTCACATCAGCCGACTTTAGAACCAGTCGCAGCCCACAGTTTGCGCAGCTGTTTGGTATCGGTCACCTGTTCTCCCGTGTATTGTTCGGGACAGGCATGACTTGCCCAGTGCTCCCGCTATTAGCAGTAACATGAAACGACAGCTTACGTTTATTGCAAGTTATCCAACATGCCTGTTTCTTTCGATTGTACCTGTTATGACGTTTCATCACGTGAGTGTTTTTTGTTTGTTGTTGTCACAAAGGCTTAAGTTAGCTAGAAAACCTAATACAAATGCAAGATTGAGAAAACAACACATAATTAGATATGTTTGAAAATCGAAATTATGAGTGCCATACTAAAATATGCTTCATTATGCGATAAGCTGTAGCATAACACAAGCCAACCAACGTCCTTTTACAAAGTCCTCTTATTTCTTAGAGGATTATTATTTTTTATTTCATTAAAATTTTGATATTTTATATTGTATGTATAAATCTCTAGATTATAAAACGATATCTCATCATTTCTTAAAGGATTAAAGGAAAGGATATTCCACATTTGCGGGTTTTTTTTAATGGAATAGCCATATTGAGGATCGCTTGGTGCAGTTCACAGCTCTACCGTTCTTAAAGAGAGTGCTCCACATTTGTACGGAGTTTTGAACTGAAATTCCCCATCTTTAAGATTCGTCGGTGCGGTTCACAGGCCTGCCTTCTTAAGACCAACACCCGTCTAGTTTTTTAGCTACACGCCCGCGAAGATGTGCAAACAATGTCGGGGAGACTTTTTAAGGTCACCCAAGCATCCATGATGTCAAAATGACGTTATTCAAATCCTGCCGCTCAATTTTCCATGCAGCGATCCAATGCCAATAAACATAAAAGTCGATTCGTCCATACCTGGCGTTCGTGAGCAGGATTTCCATATATGCCGGTCGCCAATCGGCTCTTAATGTTGCGCAAGGTACGATGACGTAATCAAACAATGTCGTTTTCAGGACTACTTTTTTAAACAGAAAGATTGTGTCGTCTAGAGCGATGCTTTTCACTTAAAAGTTTACTTACAGTTATAAATGGGCTTATTTCATCATATCTGATGCTTGCTTCAGTATCTCCAAATGCGGAACATCTTTAAGGGACAGTGCTTTTTAGTTACGGAAGCTCTGCACGTCCACGGGGCAATAAAACAAAGTTAAGCTCAACAAAGAGCAAGGGAAGAACGTCAACGAACAAACAAGGAACGAACGAACCAACCAAAAACGTCTAACTTCCGGAGGTTTTAACGGCAGGTTTTGTTAGGCATCGAGAGACCAGCGGCAATGACCACAAGTTTGCAAATACGCTAGCTGTTTTGATGGTTCAGTGCCGATCTGGCACAGCCGTTCACACCCTTTACATCATTTTATTTGGGTACAGTTTTTGCGGCTGGAAAATACTGATACCAACCACGTCCGCAAGTATGAGCCTACAGCAGTATTTATCCGTCTCCGTGTCATATTTTGCACAAAATCACTAATCTAAAATGCTTATCTGATTTTCAGAGCATTTACTGAACAGTGTCCGCGAGGATTTTATCTTTGAGCCCATCAACGCAAGTTACTAAATTTCAGCTAACCTTCAACCGGTGTCTTTCTCATCTCTGCGGCCGGGCACCTTTGTCATCTTCAACCAGCGCTTTTTCACAGTCACTGAACGAGATTCTGAAGTCTCAAAGCTCCATCCTGTCCAAAAGTCAAACTAAAGCCAGCAAAAAGCCGCATCACATAGTTCGACGTAAAACCGCGTCAGAGTAGGGTCGTTAAATGAAATGTAAACAACGTGCAGTGGGCCAGGCCAAACTAGCGTGGTAAAATAATAATTTAGGCTATGTTTTAACCCTGTTACTACCTTAGTTATGATAATGAGAAAAACAGCACAGGATAACCCGTGGCGTACTACATCGCACGCCGACGATAACTCCAAGCGGAGCTGAGCGCAACGGCACGAGAGTGCGATAAACGATGCTGGATAGCGCTTGCTAAACTGCAGGAAGCGACGGAGCCTTTGAAGCTCTGGGGCAGGCAATGACTCCTGTAGCCCTTCAGCCAACAAAGTCGACGACAAAGCTGTTTGTAGACCAAGGCCGGTGAAGCAGCACGACCGCAGCCGCATCCGTGGATATCCGGGGCCAGTTGCCGTATCCACGCGTGTGTGGTAGAAGTGTGCGCCTTAGGACCCGCACCATGCACAGCTGCCTCACACCACCATAAATAGCATCACACCTCAAGGTCACTGGCGCAAAGGCTCAATGTTCTTGTCCTGCGATCTATCGGCTCATTGGAAGTGCAGCAGGCCGCGCAGCTTGTTCTCCGCACGCGTCGGAGCCCGAACGCGCCGGGAAAGCACACGGCAGCGCACTTCCGTTTGTTTGCGTCTACGCCATGACCGGCTCACTGGTCGTCGCGACTGAGCTGTAGGACGCGGAGAGCCAATCAGAGCCATCTCCAATTTGAGTTCGACGAATCCTTTTCGCTACAGTCCTTATCTTAGCGGGTTGCACTGTAATTGCAAAGTATTGTCTCTCCTCATTTAATGCTCCCCAAATAAGCCTCTTACCCTCGTTGCTTGCGATGCGAGGGATGATGTATGTATACAAAGCGGCACGAGGAACAGGTTCTAATGAGCACTGCGGTCCCAAAAAGAAGGGTCGACAAGGCTCATGATAAATAAAAGCGAAACGCGGTGCATGCTTAATGTCTCATGACATTCACCATTATAAATGGCGCCTGCATAACTAATGGAACGTATCATCCCGCTGAAGTCAGAGCCGCTGTTGCCATCGATTTCGCTTCTATCTGCTTTGCATGGGATCATGGCCCCTTCGGCATCCCACCAGCCCTTGCTCCCTCGCAATTGCAGCGGCCCACCCAGTCAGCTGCGGCGCCGGCAGCGGCAGCCGGGCGCAGAGAGCTCCGGCCGTCTGTGAGATCACAGGACATTCCGGCGGCCTGGCCCGGCGCGGACTGAACACTCGCCCGCCGGCATCCAGTGAGAGGCGCTCAGTAGCTTACAACTGATTCCGAAAGCCTCACAGGTGCTGGTTATGGCGAGGACAAGTACGCATACTGTAACAGGCGCCCAGCTCCAGAAAATGTTCTTCCGGGATGTTATTCTTGCATTGGCCGTGTGAGATATACCTCTCAAACTATCACCCGGCGCCACATGTCAAGATAACTCCCGGATGGCTGCAACTTTCCCTGTTTGCCACTCCTCCTCTCAAGTGCTCCCATATTG